CCCCCGCTGCTGCTCTGCGCGGGCGGCACTGGTGCCCGGCCCGCGGGGCGAGCCCTCGGCTCCCGAGTGCCGCGTCCGTGTGCTTCAGCATCACCCAGGTACCCGCGCGGGCCGGCCCCTTCCTGCACCCCTTTGGCTTGAGGGTCGCTTGCGTCCTCCGCCCCCTGGACCCTTCACAGCGTTGCGGCTCCCCCGGATGGTGACCAGCCCTGCAGCCTCCCGCCCGAGCCCTCCGTCCTCCCTCCCTGGGTCAGCCTCTGCTCAGGTACCAGCTGGGAGGTCTCCCTGCTCTGTGCCTGGTTTCCTCACCGTGCCGCGCGTGCCTTATCTTGGCCGTATCATGTCAGCGAGAGTCTCTGCCAGCGCTCCCGGTCCTTCGGAGAGCTCTTCCCCTCCTCGGCGGTGTTCGGGAGCTTCGGCCCCTACAGTGCGCCCGTGTACGCGGAGTCGCGGTGCGCGAGCTCTGGCTCTGCAGACTTCAGCTCTGGGAAATTGTCCCGGAGCGTCTGCGTTCGTTGCTCACTCATCCTGCTCTGCTCTCTTCCAGGAGCTCCTGTCAGCATGAGGTAGACAGCTCGGCTTGACCCCGCCAATCTCTTATCTTTGTTCATCCCGGGCCCTTTTTATTCCTGTTTCTGGAAAAGGCCTTCAGTTTCTCCTCCGCTCCCGTTTTAATTTTTTAACTTCTACAATCAGATCTTTACTTCCCGAGAGTGTATTTGTCTTGTTCCTTTCTCATAGTAGCTTACTGTTTATGAGTATAAGTAGCTCCGTGCGTCAGAGGACAATAAGAAGGGTTCCCTTCGGTTTTCTTCGTTCTGATTTCGCGTGTACTCTAGAGTCAGCCTTTTCTTGGGTAGATACTGGCTTGTTGCATGTGCCATGTCCTCTTCCGGTGTTGGTGTACGTCCTCCTGCAGGATTGAAGATTATCATTGTCTAGGCAGGAAGAACCTGGCAGAGATCCCTGGGTTTGTGTAGAGTGGTTTTGCCCTATGGTGACTAGGCGCTTGTTACCATGGGACCTGGAACGCCCAGATTTTTCTCTGGGCCTTTGAGCTTCTGTAGCAAAGCCTTCTTAGCCTGAGAGCAGCGCCACCTTGTCTCTGTAGGGGCGCCAGGGAGTCAGCTGTTGTGTACCCAGCAGGCCCAGCCCCCTTTTGCTTAGGATGCTGGCTTGCAGCTGATCTGCAAGGCTAGGGCTCCACTACTGTATGCTCCAAACGGCGTTTGCGTTCCTGGGTTGGAACCTCTCCGGTCTAGTCAGATATTAGAGAAACCTCTTGCCTGCATCCACGTTTTTTCCTTGGGGTTTAATCTATGAAACCTCACATCAGTGGGAGAAGCAGAGGTCACCTGTGCAGTTTATCACTCACCTGGAACAGAAATCCTAAGGCCTGTTTGTCTCCTTGTGGCCTTTGTGCCATTGCACCCTCTCCCTGCTCAGGACAGGTTCGAGATCACTGCTGTACAGCTGCCTGTTGCCTGGAGTTTAGTGGACTGTTCTGCTCTGCAGCCTCGGGTGGCCAGTCAGACGTGTGTTGCATCAAGCAATGTGGTTGGTGTCTAAGCTAGTAATTCAGCATGTGGTCAGTGTCGCTGTGCTTGGAGCATCGTCTTGACGCAGTCAGTGGCTTGTCACACTTGAAAGTTGGCATGATAAAGTTAGCCACATTTGCCAGTCTTGCTGCCAGGTGGCCTACGGCCTACAGCATGATCAGGATCACTTGGGAGTTTGGGAGAAATGCACTTTCAGGTCCACAGAGACCTACAGAATCAGAGGCTGCAATGTGGCAAACTTTCATTCATCAGGTAAATTTAGTCTTTTCAGAAAAGTTGCAAAAACATTTTAGTGCATTTCCCTACTTTTTTCACAGACCTCCCCTAATGTTGACATTTATGTAATGGAGTGTGTATTAAAAACCGGAAACTTGATGCTGGCAGACTGCTACTAAATGTACTGTAGACCTCATTCAAACTTCAGATTTCCATTCACATCTTTTTTTTTGTTTCAGGACAACTCAGGATCTCATACTGCATTTAGTTCTTATTTCTCCTTCAACCTGTGATTTTTACAAAATCCCAGAATAGCTCCCTCAAGTGGCCTGGTGGCACACACTTGTCATCCCAGCACTGGGGAGGCTGAGGCAGAAGGATTGCTGCCAGTTCAAAGCCAGTTTGGACTTCATAGAGAGTTCAAGGCCAGCCTGAACTGCATACAGAGACCCTGTCTCAAAAGCAAACAAAGCAACGACAACAAAAAAACCCACAATGTCTCCCTCAGCGTATTTACCAATCACAAAGGGTAGAATAAAATAGCGACTTTTCAGCAGGTACCGCTTGAAGTAAGTGAGCAAGTGAGCGAGGGTAACACTATCAGTAATAAGAAACAGCTGTCAAATGCAAGTGAGGATACTCACTTCTCTGGTGATGCCAGAAATGCAGTCTAAACAAGAGAAAATGTCAGACCCGAACAGGGGCATCACCAGCATGCTGACCAGTGCCCTTCACAAGTGCCCGGATCTTGAAATCGACAGCAAAAGGGCCAGCTGATGTGTGGCCTGTCACGAAGGGGCCACAAGTCCTGTTCTGTGGCTTGGCTGGTGGGAGCTTGGGAGAAGTGGGGGTGCCAGGCACAAGTTCTGGATCATTCTGCAGTAGTGGTTTTATTGATTGCATTTGACATAGCTTATTAATTAGCCTTGGTTTTTCCTCACAATTGTCTCTACCATAGAAGTCCTTTATACTTAAATTACATATAAGTAAATTATGTGACAAGGCAAGGCTGACTTTAAAATGTCCAAGTAAATTCCACTTTAGTTATTTAAATCTCAAGAAAATGAACATTTTCTCTGAAGGAAAAGACTTCTGGGAGTGGGTGTGTACATACTGAGGGTCCCAGTGAGAATGTCAGATAACAGCTTAGTAAGTCCTCATACTCTTGGTAAATAAAGATTGTTGTTTCCTCTCACACAGAGGATGATCATAAAAGAGCATACCTGATCTGCATTGTTGAACCATTCAGACACATTTCTTCTGGCGGGTAGGGAGGAGTTTGGGGCATCTGAGAGCTAGTTCCAGAGGAGTTGTGTTGCAAGCTGTGCTGGCTTTGTCACTGGGACCTGGTGCTCACTTAAACCTGGCAGGAAGGTGCACCAGGAGCCACCACAGAAGTAAAACATGGCCTTGTAACCTGTCCCTCTGAGCCTTGCCTTTGACCTCACTGCTCAGTGGTGTAGACTGCCCTGCCCACCCCTCCATCCTCGGTTCTCAAGGGCAGGGTCTCAGGAACAATGACCCCTTCGCCTCTGTGCCCAGTGTGGAGAGATGTGCTGAGCTGTGTGAACAGAAGGAGCCTTTGAATGGAGCCTGGAACCAGTTCCCCCTGTCTAATGGAGGAGCCGGTGTCTCCAAGGCTTAGAACCTGAGGCGGCTCTTGAGTTAAAATGTGATGGGAACGTTGACGGCTTAAACCAAGGGAAAGTCAGGACTGGAAGTATTGTGAAGTCGCAGGAAATTGATTCCTGTTTCAAGTGAACTTCTCTTTGTCTTTTACGTCTACACAATCGAGACCTGTCGGGTTTGATTAAAAGTGTGTTGGACCATCCTTGCTGATGGTGGAGTGGAGGATGGGTTCATTCGCTCCTTATGGGGAACCCGGCGATGGGGAAAGGGAAAGATGGAGCACCCTAGAAGGAGCCTGCAAGGTAACTGTTACACTTCGAAGCTGGATGAGAAGAAAATCTGGCAGAAGAGACCAGAAAAAAAAAAAAAAAAAAAAAAAAAAACCCCGGGCGTGGTGGCGCACACCTGTAATCCCAGCGCTTGGGAGGCTGAGGCAGGAGGATCATTGTGAGTTTGAGACCAGCCTGGGTTCCAAAGTGAGCTCAATGCCAGCCTGAACTGCATAGCAAGACCCTGTCTCAAAAAGACCAAAAAAATAGAATAAAAGAAGAGGCCAGACAAGGTGAAAAGCTGAGAACAGGAAAAGGTGACCGCATGGAGTGTGTGTGCGTACATGGGTTCCCATAGGCATTCTGTGTCAACACTGTCATGCTGTTGATTGGAGTGAACAGAGGGCCGAATCCCAGTCCTGCCAGCCACTTTTAGCCTTCAGATCAGGCTCTGGGGCAGCCCTGTGCGGTGCCCCACTTAATAAAGATTTATGTTCTGTGTTGCAAAGAATGGAGCTGTGGCCTCTAGTTATTTTTCCTTTTTCCCCAACGTGAAAAGTAGTAACAACTTGAAATAAATTTAGCCATTTTAGAAACAGTGGGTTTGGGTAAAACGAGAGGCGGTGACATGGCCCATGTGCTCTGGGCATTTCCTTGCGGTGTGAACTGTATCTCCTTTGAATGTGGCTGAAGCCCAGGCTCTTAACCTTGCCAGGAGACCCAGGGAAGGACTAGGCCACGGTCCGCACTGCACCCTGAAGTGCAGCCTGTGAGTCACTGGGCCATCGTGGGGCTGCGATGGGGACAGGTGTAGCTGGCATGCAGTCTCCTTTGAACTCGGTCACTGATTGTTGGGAATAGGGCTTGGCCTTGGGGATGGAGTGCCACTGCCACCAGCCTGTGTTCTGTACCCAGGAGGCTGCCCTGAAGACCTCAAGTCACACCCCATGGAGAGTCTGCAGAGGGGCTAGGTGTCCTGGTGCTGCTGCGGTGCACGCAGGCAGACACAACTTGCAGTTACAGTCGTGCATGCAGTCATGACGTGTCATTTCAGCCGGCTATGGTCTGCGTGTACAGAGGTGGCCCCTAGGACAGTGCCACTGCAGAGCTCCCAGAGCCTCTGTCTTTAAGTTAGCATCTGGTTTTCTTTTGTTTTTTTGCTATGTAGTCCAGGCTGGCCAGGAACTCAGATGGAGCCCAGGCTGGCCTTGAACTATCATGGTGATCCTCCTGCCTCAGCCTCCTAAGTGCTGGGATTACAGATGTGCGCCACCGTGCCCAGTTGGCCTTCCAGTTCTGAAATGAAGCATTTCATGGATGTTAAAGATTTGTAGGATTCAGATAATTTCATGGCTTTGCCAATGAGGGTTTAGTATTTGTATGTTTTGTAATGAGTTTAACACATTTCTGCTGGCTAGAACCACTGGTGGTACACACAACTGTCCCATTGGTGGCTTGTACTGCCCGGTGAGACTGTCCCATGCAGCCTGATGAGACAGTCATGTGTGTACCAGTGGGGGTTCAGAGCTGCCCAGCAGTGAAACAAATGAAAGAAGGTCCCCATGTGAACATGTTAAAGATTCTAAAATTAAGATTTGTTTAAAATAGTTTTATTTAAAATAAAATAAATTGTATTTAAAATACAAATTCGTTTAAAATACCACGTTAGGGAGGAGGCAGGAAGCTGCAGGGGGTGAAACAGGAGGAAAGCAAATGAACACCATGGACACTGCTTGGGGCCCTCCCTGGACTGGCGTGAATGGCCAGGCCAGCCTGCTGCTCAGTGCACCTTCTGAGAACCAGTGCCACTTGGGCTGCTACCCATCTACCATGCATCCGCCCTCTGAAGCTCTCGTGGTGCCTTGGTCTCAGGCAGTTTCAAGACTCTGAAGATCCCAGTGCCACTAAAGCATGGTAGCTCTGTAGCCGGAGCGTTCTGTAGAGGCCTGAAAAGGTGCACACAGCTTTGTGATCTCTGTCCAGCTCCTCAGCTTGGCTTTTCCGATAGACCCTGCCTCACATCCGCAGCAGCCAGGCCCTTTCTTTAGCCTGTGAGCACAAAGGGAGAGGGCAGGTCCTGGGCACACATGGACTTGCAGTGAGACCGGCGCTGCTCTCTCTAGTCCTCCGCTGTCCCTCTTTACACGTGCCACAAGCATCCAGCTCTTACCTTTGGACCTGGGGTACGGGCAGATCGGGAGGGACCACTGAGCCATCTTGTTCCTCTGATGAAAGCACTGAGTGTAGATCAGATTTTTCTTTTTCTTTTATTTTGGGAAAGTCTCCTTGGCTGTGTTGGTGGCAGCCTTTCAGGTATGACGGCATTAATTCAGTCATCTTTTTGTGTCTCTGATTTTGGAGAAAAAGCCCCAAGATTTTTTAATAGGAATTGGTTTGTTTTAATAATGTCAGGCTTAGAAGTTGCAGGAAAAATGCAACTAATTGTGGTGTAGTCTTCCACATTCTCAAGTGTGAATATTTTATCATATTTTCTCTATCTTCTCTACAACTCATTATTCTGTTTTTACTGAACAGCTTAAGACGTGAGTCCCCTGACTCTTAAGTACCTAGGTAGCTATTTTCTTGAAAAAGGTCATTTTCTTACATAATTGCAATATAGTTAGTAAAATTATTTATCTTCATCTTTTTTTTCTGAAGATGCTATCCATGCTGGCCTTGAAATCATTGCTCCTGCCTTAGCCTCCCCAGGGCTAGAATTATGGGTGTGCAGTATCATACCTGGCAGCAGTTTACTATTTTTGTATATGTGTTGTCTAAATAACAGGCCTTATTTGCATTTTACTGATTACCCCAATGATGTTTTTATCGCAAAAGAAAAAATTCTTCATGGAATTTGGTGGGTCTCAGTTTCCCTCATGAATATTTGTTGTGTCTCACATAATCATTAACTAGGCACCATACTCCTTTTTTTTTTTTGTCTTTTTGAGACAGGGTCTCGCTATGCAGTTCAGGCTTGCCTTGAGCTCACTTTGTAGCCCAGGCTGGTCTCGAACTCTCAACGATCCTCCTGCCTCAACCTCCCGAGTGCTTGGATTACAGGGGTGCACCACCACACCTGGCATCTTTTTTTTTTGAGACAGGGTCTCGCTGTACAGTTCAGCACAGATGTGCCCAGGACCTGCCCTCTCCCTTTGTGCCTCTGACCTGCCCTCTCTTTTTGTGCCTCTGAACTTACTATGTAGCCCAGGCTGGCCTCAAACTAGCAGCAATCCTCCTAGGGACCATACTTTTTACAGGATACACATTAGTTAAATGGACTTCCTGTAGGGTTGTTCCTTACAGAAGCCACTGTGAGTAGCCATTTCCTTCCACCA